TGGGAAGGGGCTGGGAACTCCTGAGGGAGCTGAGGGGGCTCAGCCTGGAGCAAAGGGGGATCAGGGGGACCTTGTGGCTCTCACAGCTCCTGCCAGGAGGGGACAGCCGGGGGGTCGGGCTCTGCTCCAGGAACAGGGACAGGAGCAGAGGGAACGGCCCCAGGCTGGGCTCAGGGTGGATATTTGGGAAAATTCCTTCATGGAAAGGTTTGTCCAGCCCTGACCCAGCTGCCCAAGTGGAGTCCCCATCCCTGTGGATGTGTCACTTGGGGACACGGGGCAGTGGTGGCCCTGGCAGTGCTGGGTCAGGTGCAAGCATGGACTCATTAACCTCAGAGTGTGGAAGCAATAGTCAGATCAGACATAAAGAAAGCAAGATAAGCTTTCCCATTAATCCATCTGGGAAACTTTAGGGAGCTGGAGAGAAAGAATTCTAAACAATCTGCACCTGGAGTTGGTACCAAGTTGTTTACTCCCAAGGGGTGTCATGTTAATTAGCCAATCATGTGAAATTTATTGATTAAATGACCTATCAGGTCCACCTGCAGCTCGCTACAGGTGGAAGAGAAGAGAAAGAGGATAAAACAAAGGAGAAGAAGAGAGATAAAAGAAGAAAGGATAAAACAAACAAGGCACTTATGCCAATCAGCCTCCTGCTAAAACTCTGTGCCACCTCTCACCCTGATGGTGACATTAGAGAGGTTTTCCAGCCTTGATTATTCCATAATTCTCTTCTATTCCCAAAGCAAAGTCATAGGATCCAGGATATCTGCAGGCCTGCCCAAAGGGAAGCCAGATCCAGCTCCCAAGCAGGATGAGTGAAAATTCTGCTCCATTAAAAGAAAACAAACCTGAAGCCAACACCAAAGCATCTCTTTTTCCTTTGGAAAGGATGCCTGATTATTTAGAAACACATTTAATATTAAAAAAAAAAGAAAAAAAAAAGAAAAAAAAAAAGAAAATATGCTATTCCAAACTGTGAAATTACTTCTGATTTCTGTAAAATTCACTTCTGAGGCAAAACTTGAAGAGGCACAGGATGCTCCAAAATTACTTATTTTCCTAAATCGCCTTTAAAATAAAACACTCAGTGTTAAAATGGCTCTTGAGCAGGAAGAAGAAGGGAAATTCTAGTTTTAAATAATACCCACAAGTAACATTAACACTTAGAAACTCCAGAATGAAAAGAGAATTCCCTGCAGGACAGACCACACATGCCAACACTTGTCTCCCTCAGGGATAAAAGATCCTGTTTTAAACAGCCTTGTCCATTTTCTCCCAGTGAAATATTTAAATTGAAATATTAAGCTCTTTATATATAGTGAGAAAATCTAGAGAAATCAAGCCTACATTCAGTTAAGTGATGTTTTATTAAAATGTCTCTGTTACCATGGTCATGAATAGATGAAAAAGTCTAAGTTTAATTCATTTTTTCCATTAAATTTTCCTTACGTGGCCAGCTAAATAAATAAATGGATGAA